AATTTTTCTACCCCCCCCCCCCCCCCCGCGCAGTTGTTGGAACTGGCATTGCTATTATTTCAGGGGACAGTTTAAATGACGGACAGTCACTTTAAAGCGAGAAATGAATGGGATCTTTAGTTTAAGCGCCTCATTGAACCATAGAAGAGTGTTTATCGAAGGAGATACTTTTTAAACTGATTCGGGAAGGAGGGCGCCTGTCACCAAATGAATGAAACATAGGGCAAAATTGTTTTCAAATAACTTTAAATCCCCTCCGGGTGGCTTGTGTGCAAAGACGTATGAGGTCAGGGGCGTCCCCACCTGGAAAAAATGACTCTTTCTCCGGCCTGCATTATTGAGTTAAGATAATTGTCACGAGCAGTTCGATTAGCACTTAATCTTTCAGCACCGTTTGTTTACATTGCCTTGTAGTATGTGACCGTAGTAGCTGTGTACATGTTGAGGGAGAATTCCTCAATGGCGGAGACCACGCCCCCGAAGGGCTGTGGGCGGGGCCTTCCAAACCACAAGAGACACTGCCTTCAGGTTCGTGGAAATCCCCTACGCCCCTCCATTCGATTCCAATTGTGGAACCTTTGAAGGGCTGAGCTCAGTGTAGTTCAGTGTGTGGGGCTGGCCGTGCTGAGGGAGACCACACCCACTCGGCTCCTGATTGGCTAGGTATGCGCCGACCGGGCTTGCAGTGGGGAAGGGGAGAGCGTGTCCCTGCCCTGGGACTGGGCTCCACCTACGTGCTGATCGCTGCTGAGTAAGAACACATTCTGCACGTAGCAGACGTATTAATCAGAAAGGGGCCAGCTGCTGCCTTGGTAAATAAATCGAAAGGGGTTTGTACTTTGCAGGACTCATCAGCTCTAAAAAAGGGGGAGTGATTACAGCCACTAAGGGGGAGTTCACACACTTTGATCACATACAGCAGATAAAAAAGAGCTTCAGAATCAGTAGCCCTCTGGTTTCAGCATTTCTTATCTGGCAGTAAAGGTGCGGCTGCGGAGTGGGGGAGTCAGTAAGTGCACTCACCAGTAAAGGTGCGGCTGCGGAGTGGGGGAGTCAGTGTGGGGCAGTAAGTGCACTCATCGTGCATTTAATTATCTAGTCTAGTAATCCAAACTCTGGGTGGAACTGGAAACCTGGATTGAGGAGACATTGCAGCAGCAAACGTTCCCACACGGCTCTCGCTGCTAACCTTGCGTTCCTTGCTTCGTCAATTAAAAAGTACATGCGGGTTGACTCAAAGTATTAGAGCGATTGCTCATCTCCTGCTCTGCTCAGCACCGGTTTGGTGCACATTTGGCTTAACGCTGAAAGAGAAAGAGACCCGATCAAGATGCCTCTTGGACCTATAATGAGATTAGATCTAGAGAAAATAGCCCTCGACTACATTGTGCCCTGCTTGCATGACATCGGCTTTTGCTACTTGGACCATTTTCTGGGCGAGGTGGTAGGAGACTGTGTGCTGGAGCGCGTGAAACAGATGCACTACAACGGGGAGCTGCAGGATGGTCAGCTAGCCGGCCAGAGCAATGGCATTTCCAAAAGACATTTGCGAGGAGACCAGATAAAGTGGATCGGAGGCACCGAGGAAGGATGTGAGGCCATCAACTTTCTCTTGTCGTTGATAGACAGGTTGGTGATGTATTGTGGAAGTAGACTGGGAAAATACTATGTCAAGGAAAGGTCCAAGGTAAGAGAGCGATCAAAATCGCTGCTTGAATTTGTAATAGACACTGGTGTTGTGCTTGGTCCTAAATATTTAGTGTTTGTATGTTCTAATGTTAACACTGAGTTATAATCTAACAATAGTACTTTGCACTTCTAAATTCCTGACCTGTAGAGACTATTGCTCCCGGAACCTCCAATAGTAAGTTTTCTTACTATCCACCAGTTTCAAGTGCAGATTACTGCATGCAAAAAGGCTCCGAGGGGTACCCTGTAACTTTAAAAAACAAAGAGTACTCCTATGCCACTTTAGAGATTAACAAAAATATCGTGAGCTTCCGTGGGCGAGACCCACTTCAGACGAGTACAGCAAAAGGGAGTTAACGCTGGATATTTGTCCTTTTGGAGCACAGTGCATGTGTTAGCTGCCAGATCTGAAAGTACAGTAAGTTGTTTATAAACAGTTCCTGTCATGCTTGATAAGGATCTATCATGTACACCAGAGACTTAATACAGCACCGATAAAGCTATAGAAGCATTTTCATGTTTAGTTGTCAAGGGGAGGAATGAATATGTATGTTGAACAAGAAACTTTGTGAAGTACGTGATATGAATTGACTGTCTCCTCAAGTTACTCTCTTCTCCATAGGGAGTCTGCTTGGTCACTGCAGTAATAATGTTGATTGCTAGGCAGGTGTCTGGTGGCTCATTATGTCTAAAATGTGATAAATTTAACCCCTAATTTATGCCCATAGATACTAGCAGAGGCCACAGCTGAGTAAATAAGCAAATTCGCATGGCAATTAGTTTTTAATCTAATTTTCTAGTGAGGGGAGCCCAAAGCTTGAGTCCTAGCTTGAATGTTTTCTGAGATTTGATGCTTTATTTGCTTACAACCTCTGCCCACCAATGCCTTTCTTATAGTCCTAAGCACAGCTGGCATAATGCACTGACAAACTGATCACAGCAGAGTAGCCATCTCTAATAAGGGCTCTCTTTGCCCCCCCTCTCCTTCCCCCCAACTTTCAAAGATGTTTTGAAGTAAATAGGGAAAGCTATCAGAAGGCGGCGAGGGGTGATCTACATTTACTTGTGCACGTACTCATTTCAGATATGTTTATTTGGCGGGTTACTACACTATCAGGTGGCTGAAGTGTTTCACTCCAACTAGTTTCAGTTCGGTAGTCAGGTATCAACTGGTTATAGAGGGATATGATGACTGATGGAACCATTAAGTGTCGCCATTAGAAATGGTGTGAAGCATGAAAAGAAAGATCCTATGCTTAAGTGTTGGTATCTTTCTGTGAAAAGAAAGGCACATGTTGCCACTTCCAATTCCAGGCACCGGTAGAATTTGAATAGCATATATGCTGTTCACACAGAATGGGCTAACTTGGTTTCTCTTCACTGTTTCACCTGTATAGAATTAACTTTGTTCATTTGTATTGATTGTTGAAAACTTCCTTGTCTATTGCCTGCAAATTATCTAAGATATTCAACTTCTCATTTTTTGTACATTTAGCATCTCAGTGGTAGGTATGTTGGAGGACTTATGGCATGAAGTTGTAAAATTCTTAAAACATCAGAGATGAAAGTCTGAAAACTTAGAAACTTGGGTCATCTGAAGAAGTGGGCTGTGCCCATGAAAGCTCATGATACCATCGACATGTTTTGTTAGTCTGTACACGTACCGAATAAACTTAAACAAAAACTGGTCTGGTAGCACTTTATAGACTAACTTGGCTACCCCCTGAAGCTTAGGACAAGTAGATATTCAAAGTTATCCCAGTGGATTTCTCTTGAGGCATTGGGGAAAGGAGGTGGAGTGGCACAAGGAGATGACTAGAGGACTGAATGCAACTAATGCCTAACAACGTGTGGGTATATTGTGTTTATATATAAAAAAAAAGTAAAAAATTCCAAGACATTTCTCTCCGCATTATCTTAAATGGCAGAGTGTATGTGTGGGTAGAGGTGTTGAAATTTCTCAGCAGGGAAGGAGTGGGAATAATATAGTGAGGTTACCTCCTCTTTTTTCTTAAACAACCTTGAAATCTTAAAAATTGAAACATACATCGTTTTTGCTCAATTTTAAAAAATTGTCCCATCAAGTGGAAGAGGTTGGATTTGAAGAGGACTCAATTTAAATGAAGAGGCGTGGAGGAGAAGGAATGCTTTCTGTGTGAGATGGGGATGAGTGATCTGTCTCTGTGCTGACAATTTAGGACAGAGATGGGAAGTCTCTTTTGGATTGGGGGCTGCTGACCAACAGAAAAATCAGTTGGCAGCCACACACAAGCAAGAAGCAAAGACAAACAAAAAAACCCTTACTGACGTGGCCCCCTGCTGAGGAGGAGAGACACTCCCCATATTCCCCTCATATGCCAGAGCCTGGGCATAGCACATCTTTTTGTGCTCCAGCCCTGTGGAGGGTGGCTGTGGGGAGCCTCGGCTGGATCCAGGCAAGACGGGGGCCGCATCTGGCCCCGGGCCATATGTTCCCCATCGTGATTTAGGTATTCTCCCTGAGTGGATGCTGCTTGCCTGAGTAATGCTATAAGTGAGGCACTTCATTCTTTGGCCGCTAGGGGAAGAAAGAGGGGATTTTGTGCTACAGCTAGAGCCAGACATGAAGGGGGATGACTATATAATTTTTACCCAGTTGCAAACAGAAATTCACACTTGTATGGTCAGGGCAAATTCTTCTAGGACTTTACTGTGGGTAGTAAAAAAATTTAAATAACCAAGCTGTGGTGTTCCCACAGCCCTCAGTGTTTGTGAATCATACATGTTGTTGCTACTTATGTATAACAAGTAATAGCTGACTTTCATATAGTATCCTCCAGAGAACTCAACCCACTTTACAAATATTCTGGCATCTATTTGTATACATAGGTCTCTTCAGCTGTGAACATTTTGAGGTAGAAGGTGTTACACTTCAAAACAGATTTTTCACACCCCTAAGACATACCCAGTAGTTCAGGACCATGAGGAAATAATGTGCTTTCTGCTGTAAAGTACAGAGAGCATTTCAATAGGAAATCAACAAGAACAGATGGGCTAACATCCCTATTATCAAAAAAAGTCCCATGGAATTTTTGAGGATCACAAATAGTAGTTCTACATCTCCACTGAAAGATGGCAGGTTCAGCAAGACAGTGCCCTCTTGCGCTATACACCATTGTTGCCTCAGAGGGAAAGATGTTTTTCCCCCTTTTGAATCACCATAATAGCTATCACAGCTTCCTGCACTGTTTCTTGGAGTATTCCTATCCAAGATCAGGTCCATCTGGCTAGTCTTGTGAGATCTGGTGAACTCAGACAACAATTATAATTATTTTAAATCTAGCTATGTTTTGACTATATACCACATTGTATCCTTTTTAAAGCATGCTTTGAGTTTTTGATGCTCAAAACTTTCAATAGCCTAGGCTTGAGGTATTTTATCAAGAGTTTAAGCATTTTTCAGTTTGACACATTGTTATAATTACTCTTTTAGGAAAACTGGTCTTTTGTTAGGAAAACAGGCCTTTTGTGGAACTAGGGTAGATCACGGGGTTGGAGAAGAGAGGGCAAGAAGGGAGGGTCAGAGCACAGATTTAACAATCCAGCACAATTTTTTCTAACCTAAATGTAAACCTTTAGCTTCTGATAAGTATTCTGATTGTGGAAATAAATACAGGTATCACAAGACTGATAATTATTTAGAGATCTACTCCTTAAACTTTACATTGGTAAAGTTGTAGCCTAGTCAATTAAATTTGTCTTAAGTATCCCTGGAAAGGAATTGTATAGGTTATAGGTGTGTCTACATTTAAACTGCTACAATGGCACAGATACTGTAGTGCTTCAGTGTAGGTTCTCCCATCTGCATAGGTGTGCCGTTTCCCTAAGAGGCAGTTGACCTAGTATAGTCTACGCCTGGGATTAGGTAGGAATAGCTACATCTCTTGGGATGCAGATTTTTCACATGCCTAAGACATAGCCATACTGATATAACTTCCATCAATGTAGGAACACCCCATCTATGAATGAAGTTAGCTATGTCAGTGGAAGTCATCTTGGCTTACACTTGGAAACAACTTTCAGTCAGTGTCCGTGGTGTCTACACTAGAGATCTATGCTGGTATAGCTATTGTATAGTCTGCATAGTGTAGACATACTTGTGTAGGACTTGATCTATACTTACAACATAGCTGTGAAACATGGTGGTTGATGCAGCAATGTCAATGGAAGATGCTTCCCTTGACCTAGCTATTGTTACTCAGGGAGGAGGAATTTCTACAGCAATGAAAAAACTCCTTCAGTTGCTGTAGTTTGCATCTAAGTTTTGGTGCATTTGGTCAGTGTAGCTTTGGCCCCATCGCTATCCCACTGAACTCCCTGTAGTGCAGATATGGCCTTAGTTTTAGCTAAAGCTGAGAATCTAGAACCTAAGACTGCTGGTTGGAAGAAGTGGTGGGAAGCACTGTCCTGCCATGTACTCCACAGTTCAAGCCCTGGGGAAAGCTATCTTGTGATGAAGTGCTGTTCAGGTAGGAACTGGAATCTTTGTCCTATAGATAAAAATTCATTTCTGAAAACTATCCATATAGAACTGGAATGGGAAATGGGAGAAGTAAAACCTTCTGCAGGAGAAATGTTTTCAGAAAATTCCATTGCAGAACAACCAAAATTGAAGCTTTTTGTCAATAGTCTTGTAATTCTGGTGGATGAAAAATTACATTTGTCATCTACATTAAATAACCCTCCTCCCCAGCAATTTTCTTGTTTTAACATTAAAATGCAAAGTGAAACTCCTGGTCCTGGGTACAGATCTAAAGAGCAGCATATATAGGCTGATGATCAAGATGCAGAGGAACACAGGATCTAGAAATACAATATGTTACAAAAGATTTTTGATACCGGCATAGCAGCGTGCCTTGCAATTAGCGTACAATGAAACGCCTGATGAATACTGCCATCCAGAAAAACCAGGCATAATTTTTTTTTCTTCTAATCAAATGCACATGTTCTGGCATAATG